GGAGGAGGAGGAGGAGGAGGAGGAGGAGGAGGAAGACAACTATAAGGTCCTTGGTGCTCTCTGAGCTCACTTGTTTTCTTGCAGATGTTTTATTACCCAACTAGGGAATATCATCAGTGCTAAGAAGGAGGGGGGTTGAATGTGGAGGAGGACTACAAAGACCATGTGATCCCTGGTGCTCTCTGAACTTGGTTCTTTTTTTTTTTTTTTTGCAGATGTTTCAGGACCCATCTAGGTAACATTAGTGCTAACTAGGACACCATTCTAGCGCTGATGATGTTAACTAGTTTGGGTAATGAAACATTTCAAGCTCAGAGAGCGCCAAGGATCCCTCATTTCAACCCTGAGCTACAAATATTCTCCTTTATTGGAACAAGCTATTTCCAGGATTCAGAGAGATTTCCAAAGATGCATTGGCCCTGCCTCCTAGATGTATCCATTGATTTTATTACTCTCCTTCACATGCATACTGAAGATGTACCCAAGGTTTATTGTGCTGGAGGCAAAGTTGACATATCATATGAGCGGTTTAAATCGTTTTCTTCCCCAGATCAAAAAAAAAAAAAAACCACACACATTTCAACTTGGAGTTGAAAAACTGAGTGTCCACTCAAGCATCTTGGACTCCATCATCCTTTGGGAGTGGACTTCCTTCACGGAGAATCTTGATCTTTCATGACTATGACAAGACACATTGCAAAATCATGCACTTCTACATCTGGGCATCCTTCCTAAAAGACCAAACCGAACCTACATGGACCTGCTTGCTTACACCATGGAATGGTTGATGAAGCAGCCGTAATTTCCTAAGCCATTGAGATCCAATTGTCAGATCCCATATGACCTCATGACTGAGCAGGACTCCTGGTCTTCTGTTTCCTAGCCTGGTCCCTTAACCAGTACTCCAAAAGATTATCTAATAGATTCCTGTTTTCCAGCATTGCTTGTTTGTTCGTGTCTTCAAGTCAACATTGATTCCATCGCCCGTAGTTTTCTTGGCCTGATTTTGAGAAGTGGTTTGCCACTGCCACCTTCCTAGGGCTGAGAGAGAGTGACTGGCCCAAGATCACCCAGTTGACTTTGTGCCTAAGTAGGACTTACGGGCTCCTTCCTTCTAGCCAGGCACCATACCTACTACTCCAGCATTTCATTGAGTCCAGCTTGAACAAAGGCATTTTTTGCCAGTGTGATAACTGGAGTAACACACTTTTACAGAACCTACCAAAACGCTGGTTTGGCAAAGTTGGTTCTGCTGATCCAGTACCAGGATGAATGGAAGACTTTTGAGCAGTGGTGAAATCCAAATTTTTTTACTACCGGTCCTGTGGGCGTGGCTTGGTGGGCATGGTGTGGCTTGGTGGGCATGGCTTGGGCATGGCAGGGGAAGGATACTGCAAAATCTCCATTCCCACCCCACTCTGGGGCCAGCCAGAGGTGGTATTTGCCGGTTCTCTGAACCTACTCAAAATTTCCGCTACTGGTTCTCCAGAACCTGTCAGAACCTGCTGGATTTCACCCCTGCTTTTGCGGATTCTCAGTGCATTTATACATCTTTAAAAGAAAAATTGTTTACAATCACTGCTACCCAAGATTACAAGAATGGATACCCAAGGATTACACAGGGTAGCTGGACAGAATCAAAGCTGACACCAGCCAGAGCATAGAACAACTCAAGATCAGAAGAGATGGAAAGACCTGGCCCATAGAATCACCAAGAGTTGGACATAACTGAACGGATCACACAACATTATCATCAAAGCTTCTCTCCAGCCTTGTGCCATCTATTAACCATTCTTCTCCAATTTACCATCGCTTCTCTAGCTGTGATTTCCCCCTCTGTCAAATTTACAAAGGACTGCTTGATTCCAAAATCTTGGAATGTTTTCAGGCATGCAGAGATCACAGTGGACAGAATAGACAACAACAACAACTTTCCTGGGCATTACCAAATCCATTTGGTAATCATCCTCAGCGCATGTTAAGACCAACTTGTGCCTCATTGTTCCAGATCTCAATTACAAGCAGTCCTTGACTTTCAACAGTCCATTTAGCGACCATTCAAAGTTAGAACGGCACTGAAAAAAGTGACTTATGACCATTCTTCACACTTACGACCATACATTTATTTATTTATTTATTTATTTATTTATTTGTTTATTTGTTTATTTGTTTATTTATTTTATTATATTATATTTCTATACCGCCTTTCTCCCGTAGGACTCAAGGCGGTGTACAGTCAAGAAAAATATAGATACACAAACATCATAAAATTGCTAATTAAAATTATTATTATAACATAGTTTGACCCAATTAAATAGAACCTAAAATTAGATAACATTTTAAAAACATTCACATGTTCATATGTTTAGCCCCGCCTGTTGGAACATCAGGGTTTTGAGGGCACGGCGGAAAGCACGGAGATCAGGGAGATCCCAGAGATCAATATTTATGATGATTGCAATGTCCTGGGCTCACGTGATTCCCTTTTGCGACCTTCTGACGGGGGAAACCAGATTCATTTAATAACCCTGTTATTAATTCAATGACTTCAGTGATTCACTTAACAAATGGAGACAAGCTCACTTGACAAATTTCTCACTTAACGACATAGAATTTGGGCTCCATTGTGGCCATAGGTTGACGGCTTCCTATACTTTCAGCACAGTGCTATCTGCACGCTTCAGAGATTTAGAGTTTAGCGAAGGCCATTTTTAACCGATCATGGCTCCATCTGAGCTAGTTAATAGTTGAGTACAAAGGACATACCGTTTAAATGCTCTGTGCAATGTTTCACGGATTTCAAAAGATCATCTCCCACTTCTAGAGTTTCACCAACACTCATGCATGCAAACAAATATTACAAATATCACGTATCCATAAACATATGCCTGGTGGTTTGCTATATATTCCTTGGTTATGCATTTTTGTACTGTTGGATAGCAGTGATTGTAAACTATTAAAAAAAAAAAGATGTATAAATGCACCGAGAAATCTGAAAAGTCTTCCATTCACCATGGTGCTGGGTCGGCAGAGCAAACCTCGCCAAACAAGCATTCTGGCAAGTTCCATTACAAACATGTTACTCCAGCAAAGTATGTCAGGCTATCATGCTAGGAAAAATGCCTTTTTCCAAGCTGGACTCGATGAAATGCTGGAGAAATAATTTGGTGTAGTGGTTACGGTACCAGACTAGGCAACCGAGACTCTTGAGTCCTGCTTAGGCACGAAGTCACCTGGGCGATCTAGGGCCAGTCACTTTCTCTCAGCCCCTAGGAAGGAGGCAATGGCAAACCACTTCTGAAAACCTGGCCAAGAAAACTACAAGTGATGGAATCGATGCTGGCTCAAAGACAGAAACAAACAAGCAACGTTGAAAAACAGGAGTCGATTTGATAATCCCTTCTTACACACAGGAAGGGGCTGTAAATGGCATCCATCTCTACAACAAGGAGGAAATTGGCCTCCCAAGAGGTTCGGGATGTTAGGAGAATTGCTTGCAGACACCCTTATCTATTTGACCGAGATATGTGTCCCTTCCAGAGGCAAAGGAAAATCGGCAACCACAATCACGTCAAACAGGTAAGGCAGCAACAGCAAAACAAAACCCAAAAAACTGTTTTTGCAGAAAAGCAAGTTCAGAAAAAGACAGAGCTGGGTCAACGGAAGGATGTGAGGCGGTGAATTCGCCACTCAATGGAGGACATTCTACGCAAGTATCTCAAAGTGATATTAAGGCTGATGTTTTTCCCATCATGGAGAAAAAGGCCAGTGTTTCTAGAGGGAAAAAAAACAAATTTCTTTTGATTGGAAAACGAAGCCAGAAGTGAATCCAGCAATCCAGAGAATAGGAGAAAAAGATTTCCCTTCCTTATTCAAAGCAGAACAGTCAAATGTTCAGAGCAGATAAATAAGGTGGGAGGTTTTTTTGGAGGGGGGATGGACTCCAGGTTTGTTTCTCTCAATGAAAGGACCGTTCCTGGTCTTCTCTCAAGTTTTCTTCCCAGCCCAGCTGTCTGATTGAGACCCAGCGATGCTACAGCTCCCCAAGCAAATTGGGGGAAGGAAGAGGACACCGTTCAACCCTTGCCAACTTTCTGCCAACACCACCCAGCAAGAAAGTCCTGAAAAAGTACCGTCTCCGAGACTACCTCCCCCTGCAAAAGCTTTGCCTGCCCTTTAAGGAAACCTTCGTTTTTTGGGGAAGCCTTGTAGGGTTGTGTCTTTTAAAAGCACCAAACCAAACACAACACTTGGCCGAAAAACTGGGGATCATCCCAACTCTTTTCTTCCAAAAGGCAGAAACGATTGTTTAAAAACCACACTCCCCTCCCCCAAAAGGAGGGCAGGTTGCCTTAACCCCGGTAGGGTCGAAAGGGACCCCCGAGACGCCAAGAGGACCCCCAAAAGCTTTCTCCTCGGGGCTCCTTTTCATCACCCACCCAGCTCCGTTGCGCACAGCTGGGCTCTCAAACCCCTACTCAAAACAAGGTCGGACGCAACTCCTTGCAAAGCTCCAGCGGGGAGGGGAGAGTTCCCCGGGGGCCCCAGGTGAGTGAGTTGCAAAGACCCGGGGCCCCTCCGCAAGGCGTGCATCTCGCCCCCACCCCCCACACCACCACCACCACGCGGGCCAGAAACTTCGGCTGGCTTGCCCGGATACCCAGGGCCGGCGCGCGGCGCAAACTTTGCAGCGCTCCGGAGAGGAAGGCGAGGGCCGGCCGGAGGAAGGGGGAGCAGCAGTCGGTGCCTCCCCGCCCTGCCTGCCTGCCTGCCTGCGCTTTATCTTGCCCGGCCTGCTGCTCTCGCCTTCTCCCCGCTGGCTCCCCGAAGCTGCGACCGTCGCTGCCCTGCGCCGCATGGATGCTGGGCTTCTCCGGCTGGGCGCCTCCGCCTTCTCCGGGTGCCATCAAGCCCGGGCAGCGGTTCCCAGCAACGGCGGCGCTTCCCCGCTTCTGCGGCCGCCCCTTCCCTTCCCTCTCTCGGCCCCCCAGCCGTCTTACCTGGGCGAGGGTCTCCCTGGGCGAGCAGGAGCAGCGCCAGCAGCCGCCCGCCGGGGCTCTCCAGCGGCGGCGGCGCGCGGCTGGTCGGCAGCCCGGGTGGGCGAGGAGCGAGCGGGAGAGGCTGGGCGAAGCCTCGCCGGGGAAGGAGGAGCCGCGGCGGCCGAGGCTGGCTGGCTGGCTGCCTTCCTCGCAAGGGAGCGGGGCGAAATTCCTGGCCAGCCGCAGACAAAAGAGCGCTTGGCCAGGGGCGCAAAGCCCGAGCCTGCCTAGGATGGATGGATGGATGGATGGAAGGAAGGAAGGAAGGAAGGAAGGAAGGAAGGAAGGAAGGAAGGAAGGAAGGAAGGAGGGGACGAGCGAGGGTCCCTGCGCCGGGCGAGGGGCGAGGGTCTCCGGCCAGGCAGGGCGCTGGTTGCTGGGGAAGCCGCCCCGAGGCTCAGCTTCTCTCCGCCGCCGCCGCCGCCTTCCCTTCCTCCTCTTCCTCCTCCTCCTCCTCCTCCTCCTCCGTGGCGAGTCCGCCTTTCCCGGGGAAGCGCGTTGCTGGCAACCCGGAGGCCGGATCCCTTTTGCAGCTGGGGTGAGCTCCGGCGTGGTGGCACGGCTGGCTGGCTCGCCTTCCAAAGGCAGCGGACGCCCTCGACGTGGGCGGAAACCAGGACGGGAGGGGTGGGGAGGGGAGGGGGGACAGGGAATATTGTTTCTCCCCCCCCCGCCCCGCCCCGCCCGCCACTCCCGGGAGGAGGGGGCGAGGAAAGAGAGTTGGCACTTTGGAAAGGGGGCTCGGCAATACACACACAGAGAGAGAGACGCAGGGTGGCACTGGCCAAGCGAGTGAAAAAACAAAACAGAAGGGTTGGGAATGGGATGGGGCACCAGCAGGTGATCCCAGGGCCAAAGGCTGGACTGGGAAGTTTAAAAAAAACCCTAACACACATTTTATACACACACATATATACATATACACTATATATATATACACACACACATATATACATATTCATTTATTTTTTATTTTATCAAAATTTATATGCCGCCCTTCTCCCGTAGGACTCGGGGCGGCTTCCAGAATAAAAAACAACATAACAATATATTTTTTTTAATTTGATTTATATGCCGCCCTTCTCCGGAGACTCAGGGCGGCTTACAGTGCGTTAAGCAATAGCCTTCATACTTTTGTATATTTTTATACAAAGTCAGCTTATTGCCCCCACAAACTGGGTCCTCAATTTACCTACCTTAGAAAGGATGGAAGGCTGAGTCAACCTTGAGCCTGGCGAGATTCGAACTTATTTTAATTGCAGACAGCTGGTGTTAAATTACAGTGCTTAGTCTGCAGAGCTATTCAGGCTCTGGATGTTAAAACAAGCCAAATTATAATCCCCAGACAATTTAAAACCCTCATGGCAGATCAGGGAATTTGCTGAAAAAGTCATGTCTTCAGGTCGGCGCGGAAAGTGCGGAGGTCGGGGGCCATCCGGAGCCCGGTGGGTAACCCATTCCAGAGGGTCAGTGCGGCCACAGAGAATGCTCTCATCCTGGGGGCCAACGGCCGAGATTGTCTGGCCGATAGCACTCAGAGGAGGGCAGTCCTATGTGAGCGCACTGGGCGGTGGGAGGCCGGTAGAAGGTGGTCTTGCAAGTACCCTGGGCCCATGCCATGAAGGGCTTTATAGGTAAGCACCAGCACCTTGAAGCGGATCCGAAGGGCTACCGGCAGCCAGTGCAGCTCGTGCAGGAGCGGTGTTACACGGGAGTAACGGGAGGCTCCTGTAACAACCCGTGTGGCCGCATTCTGGACCAGCTGGAGCCTCGGGTGCACCCCAAGGGCAGCCCCATGTAGAGGGCATTGCAGTAATCCAACTGAGAAATAATGAGAGCATGAGTGACTGTACGGAGGGCATCCCTGTCTAGGAAAGGGCACAACTGGTGCATCAGGCGAACCTGTGCAAAAGCCCCCCTATAGATATACATATACATATACATATACATATACATATACATATACATATACATATACATATACATATACATATACATATACATATACATATACATATACATATACATCAATGGTGAAATCCAATTTTTTTTACTACCGGTTCTGTGGGTGTGGCTTGGGGGGATGGCTTGGGGGGGGTGCCAGGGGAAAGATATTGCAAAATCCACATTCCCACCCCACTCTGGGGCCAGCCAGAGGTAATATTTGCCGGTTCTCCGAACTGCTCAAAATTTGCGCTACCGGTTTCTCCAGAACCTGTCAGAACCTGCTGGATTTCACCCCTGGTATACATATATATATATATATACACACACACACACACACACACACACATATTGATCTCTAATCCTCGATCTCAGCTCTCCTATTTGGCCCCATCTTCACCTCTCAGCCTTAAAGGAGAGAGAAGGAAGCCACATATCTGGGGTGTATGGGGGGACAGAGAGCTTCCTTTGATTAGCCAAGATCTCTTTACTGGAGAAGGTACAAGCCTCCTATGGACACAGGCAGTAAGCAGCCTAGAAAGAATACAGAATACAGAATAAGAGACTCGGAAGGGACCTTGGAGGTCTTCTAGTCCAACCCCCTGCTCAAGCAGGAGACCCTATAGTACCATTCCAGACCAACAGTTATCCAATCTCTCCTTTAAAACTTCCAGTGTTGGAGCATTCGCAACTTCTGGAGGCAAGTAGTTCCACTGATTAATGGTTCTCACTGTCAGGAAATTTCTCCTTAGTTCTAAGTTGCTTCTCTCCTTAATTAGTTTCCATCCATTGCTTCTTGTCCTGACTTGGAGAATAGCTTGACCCCCTCTTCTTTGTGGCAGCCCCTGAGATATTGGAAGACTGCTATCCTGTCTCCCCTAGTCCTTCTTTTCATACCCGGCTCCCACAACTGTTTATCATATCTTCGTATCATTATATCTCAGTTCCCAAAGTCCTGCTTTTCTGCAGGCATATCCTTATCTTATATGAGCCCTGATGGTGTTACCTAGTTGGGTAATGAAAAGTCTCCTAGAAAATTTTGTATATTTATACAAAGTCAGCTTATTGCCCCCACAAACTGGGTCCTCAATTTACCTACCTTAGAAAGGATGGAAGGCTGAGTCAACCTTGAGCCTGGCGAGATTCGAACCCTGCAGTAATTGCAGGCAGCTGGTCTTAATAACCAGCTTAATAACAGGGTGCCTTAAGCTCCTGTACTACCAAGGCTCTTTTTTTGTATATACCTGCTTAGTGGGGCTTTGCCCCCCCTCCAAGCGGTGTTCTTTTTTATATAAAGTCAGCTTATTGGCCCCACAATCCGGGTCCTCATTTTACCTACCTCAAAAGGATGGAAGGCTGAGTCAACCTTGAGCCTGGTGAGATTTGAACTTGCAGTAATTGCAGGCAGCTGCTGCTACTTAACAGTGCTTTAGTCTGCTGCGCCACCAAGGCTCTTGAGGGGCCTCACCCAAAGCAGAAAGGAGCTGCAGATGTTTCCTTCGGTCCTTCTGGCCCATGTGAAAGGAGAGTTGGAAGCTGCTAATTCCAGCAAGGATATTTTAGACAGATGTCTTCCCCACCCCCAGTTTATCCCCTGCAGATGTGCAGTGAAGGCCGCTGAATCTGCCAGGGATCCCTCCAGCTGGAGCACCGGTGCCGGAGATTTGTTTTGATCCATTTTGTGTCTTGTCAATAACCCAGTGGGGAAGGAAGACGGCTCTAATCCCAGCCAATGTCCTGGAACAGCGTCAGACAGCAACAAGGAACAAGGTTTCATTAGCTGCTAAGCGAGGGAACAAATCCTCCAAGCTTCCACGGGTTGTTACAGAGTAAATCATGGCTTAAATTATAGATGAGCGACTGAGGGATGGAAGCTGGAAGGCCAGCCAGCTTTCACAAGGACGGAAAGGGAGAAGGATGGAGGTGGCAAGCAGAGACTAAAAGCAGAGACTCTCCCCTGGCACCCGCCTGTCCAGAGTTCTCCAGCCAATCAATCAATCAATCAATCAATCAGAATAGAGTGGGAAGGGATTTTGGAGGTCTTCTAGGCCAAGGGTCCCCAACCTTTCGGACCTCAGGGACCACTAAATTCATAATTTTAAATCCTGTGGACCACTAATATGATCTGCCTAATGACTGGCTGGATGGGCGTGGCAAGGTAGTCATGTGACTGGGTGGGGGTGGCCAACTCAATGTCACTCACGTTGAGGGGCGTATCGCCAGCCTCTGCTTGCCCCTCCCCTCCCAGCCACTCCTCGCCTGCCCGTCTGGGCTCCTGAGGGCCCCAACAGGAAGCAGTTGTTGGAGCTAAGCATCCACCACGAGGAAGAGTTGGCAAAACAGCTCAGTTCAAATTGGATCTGGCCAAGAAGGAGGCTCAGCGGAAGCACCTCACTGAGGACTAGGAGCACAGGTTTTCCAAGCAGAGGGAAGACCTGCAGGATATAGGTATAGTCGCCTGGAGGCTCAGCAGGCTGAGATGGTCAGTCAGTTCCAGGCCATGAGGCAGTCTCACTGGAACAAGGCTCTGACTCTTTGCCACCAGCGGCGTTTCCCTCCAGCCTTCGCCCAAAGCCCCCCACCAGGAGCCTGAAGCAGACCCCAAGTCGGAATTTCTGCCCCCCTCCGACCCACATAAAAAGACCCCAAAGTGGAGACTCTCTGCAGCGACACAAACATTCATTGCACGTAACTGTCCCAGGGGCCGCAGTTTGAGGACTCCTGATTTAGTGCAATATAAAAAATGCAAATAATTTTTTCTGAGGACCACCAAAATTTTCTCGCAGACCACCAGTTGGAGACTGCTCTTCTAGTCCAACCCTCTGCTCAAGCCGTATTTCAGACAAAGGACTATCCAATCTCTTCTTAATAACCTCCAGTGATGGAGCAGCCTTTACTTCTGGTGGCCAGCTCTTCAGAATAACAGAGTTGGAGGGGACCTTGGAGGTCTTCTAGTCCAGCCCTCTGCACAAGCAGGAGACCCTAAACCATTTCAGGCAAGGGGCTGTCCAATCTCTTCTTAAAACTCTCCAGTGATGGAGCAGCCACAACTTCTGGAGGCAAGACGTTCCACTGTTACTACCACTTTATAAAGCCTATAGTAAGGCCACACCTGGAATATTGCATCCAGTTTTGGTCACAATGTTAGAAAAAAGATGCTGAGACTTTGGAAAAAGTTCAGAGAAGAGCAATTAAGATGATTAAAGGCCTGGAGATGAAAACATATGAAGAACAGCTGCAGGATTTGGGTTTGGCTAGTCTAGTGAAGAGAAGAGAAGGACTAAGAGTGACATGATAGCAGTCTGCCAATATCTCAGGGGCTTCCACAAAGAGGAGGGGGTCAACCTATTCTCCAAAGCACCTGAAGGCAGGACAAGAAACAAGGGATGGAAACTAATCAAGGAGAGATTCAACCTGGAATTAAGGAGAAACTTCCTAACAGTGAGGACAATTAACCAGTGGAACAGA